CCCACGCCGTCCCCGAAGCGCCTCGGGAGGTGGTGCTGGGGGGGCAACACGCCAGGGTTGGCCTCTGCTTCCCCCTCCCAGAGCAGGAGGCAGCTTGGCGTTGGTGCAGGTACTCCTCTGGTCACAGCCCTCCCTGCCTCGGGGGAAGAGCCAGCACCACGCTGAGTGCATGCTGGTGTTTGGTAAGCTGTTGGTTGCTGCAGGTGGCAAGCTGTAACGACAGACATAGGTCTTGTTTCTGTAACAGTCCTAACTTGTGATATGCATACATGTGTATTTTTAAGAGATCGCTACTCTAAATGTTCTCTGTAGCTTGTTTTTCAAATGGGATGGAGCATTTACCAGATTATGCAGCCAAAAGCACTTAGGTACTAAGTTTGTTCAGAAGTGTTTGCTCGCTGCCCGCTAAGAAATTGCTGCTATAGATATGGCAGCTAAAGTAATAGTATGGAAACTACAGGTCAAGAGAGAATATTTACTGAGCCTGTCTTTTTTTTTTTTTTCCTCTCTGAAGACTTTGGGTATGAGACACTGGGCTAAGCTATACCTTGAGGTGATGCGTGTACTGTGTTAGCTTACCAGCACTGCGCAATATTCTGTGTCGCTACATCCTTCACACTGTGAATTTTTGCTAGGTATGATACTCACAGGGAAGCTCTGCTGAAAGGAGGAGTTGATGGGGACTATCAAGATGATAGTTTAGATCTGCTGCAATACTTCACTGTTAGCTGTTACTCTGGATATGGAGATGATGAAAAGGTAATTAATCTTTAAAGAATCAATTTAAATTTCATGAAAAGCGTTGGCATTTGCTTCGTGTGGAAAAGCTATGTGTGGAGTTGTTGAGCACAGGTAGTAACTATGCTTACACAAACCTTTCAAAGGCGCAGTTTATGCTGGATGCTTAGGGGAGCTTTAATTCCTGCTTATCATCCAACAATTACTTAGGATTTCCAACTGTACCATACAACTGAGTGTGTGTATGTTATTTATTTACGTTATATAGTGAAGCATTCCAGTGCTTTGCAATACCATCTGTTTATTCAGAAATAGCTTTAATAAGTGAGAATGCTTCAAGCTAAAAAAGTTATGTAACAACAGTCCTTGGGGAAGGTGTGCTCCCCAAAATTGAATTCTCAGTTGGATTTTAAGATACTCATCATAACTTAAAAAGCTCCACGTGATTTAGATAAAAACCTCTGCCAGAGAAAATC